AAGATACTACTTATACTAATAATAAAAGCTCTAGAAAATTAATATAGAGCTTTTTAATTTAACTATTTAAAGCCTTTATTATATAGTTAGCAACTAAATAAGCTTCTATAATAACTTCTTTTATAAAGGCTAAATTACTAGCTATTTTAGCTATTACAAAAGAAACTATAGCTTTTTTAAGGCTTATAACTTAACTAGGCTTAAAATTAAAAGCTAAAAAACCTACTATATATTATAATAACTTATAAACTATAAGGCTAGTTACTCTAGACCTTTCTAGGGTTAAAATAGCAAGTTAAAATAGCTCTAAGGTATATTAATTTATATAATACTTAAATAAAGCAGGCTTATAAAGAAGGAAAATTTAATATAAAATATCTAAAAACCTTAGAAATACTTGCTAACAGCTTTATAAAACTTTTTATAAAGTAGAAATTCTATAATTTCTAATAACAGCTAGGCTTATTTAATATTAAAGGCTTTATTTTAGCTAAAGAAGCTATTAAAAATTTAATAAATTAGCTATATAAGCTATATCTACCTCTTATATTTATTTATTATTTATCTTTTTACTTATTTTATTTATCTTTACTATTTATTCATCTTTATTTTATTATTTATCTATATTTACTACTTATTATAACTTACCTAGCTATATTTAATATATAGCTAAGGGGGTATATTAGCAGTAAATACTACTTACTTACTATAAAAAATATATATAAAAACAAGAGAAACAACTATAGTATATAAATTGCCTATAAGAAATATTTATATATATTTTATATGTAAAAATTTAATATACTTTATATCTATATTTCTTAGTATATATAATTAAAGTTAAGAAAGAAATACTAGCTGAAATTTAATAAAAAGACTAATAAGCTATAAAGACTAATTTACTTTATAGAAGGAAATAGCTATAAAAGTTATTTTAAGCTATTAAAGCTACTATATTTACTTACTTTAGCAGCTTTACTATAGAATTTACTTATAACTAACTCTTCTTCTCTCTAACTAAATAAAGAGGAAATTAAGCTTTTATAACTATACTTTTTAATATATACTATTATATATAACTTTCTGCCGACGCGGCAATAGCGAGGTCGGAGAATCATACTATAAGAATCCCTATTATTATATACTTAGTAATTAACTAAATTACATAAGCTCTATTTATTTATTATTTATTATATTATAAAGAGTCTCTTAATTAGCCGACAATAGTAGTAATCTTTAGAAATAAAAGTTTTTAGTTATATAAAAAAAGTATTAGTAATACTTATTAAAAAGAAAATAATAAAAATAAGTAGTATAAAGTTACTAAACTATTTATAAAGTAGAGATATATTAAATATATACTATATTTAAAAAATATAAAGTAGAGATATATAGTTACTAAAGAAATTAATACTATATATTAGTCTTTACTATATAGTAGTAATATAAATAAACTTACTAAAAAAAAGTATATAATAAACTTAAGCTATAAGCTTAAGTAAGTATAAAGTACTATATTAATACTTTATTAAATATACTTTAAATATATATTAAACTTATATATATATAATAAGTAGAAAAGAGAAGATAAAGAGCTTCTTCTTTCTCTCTTTTCTCTTCTTAAGTTTATAGTTAATACTAGTAATACTTATATATAGTCGCCTGTAAAGCTAGTCCTTAATATTATAATATAGTATAAAATTATTTATAATAGTATATATTAAAGAGTATAGTTATAAAGGCTTAATTTTCTCTTTATTTAGTTAAAGAGAAGAAGAGTTATTTATAAGTAAATTTTATAGTAAAGCTTCTAAATTAAGTATAGCTAGTAGCTTAAAATAACTTTTATAGTTATTTTCTTTTATAAAGTAGTTTAGTCTTTATAGCTATTAGCTTTTTTACTAGTTTCTAGCTAGTATTTCTTTCTTAACTTTATTTATATAATTAAAGAAATATAGACTTAAAGCTTCTTAAATTTTAAATATAAAATAGATATAATATTTTTTTATAAGTAATTTATATATAATAAGTATTTTCTTACTTTATATATTATTTTTGCTGTTAGTAGTATTTGCTGTTGAGAAGTATTATATTTCTTCTATAATTTACTTCTAGTAGATTGCTGCATAATGTTTTTCTGCAAAAGAAAGCAGCCGTCTGCTGGGCTAAGGGCGGGCGTGTTGTAGCGGCAGCATGTTATCACGCTAGATGCTTTCCATTCCGTTGAGCCAGTCAGTTAGTTAATTGCTGTGTCATGACTCATGAGGCCATATGGAACACAAAAAGGTGAATCAGTCCGCTTTCATGGAACATAAACAGAGTCGAATGTGCAACGGCAAGCAAGGAGCGCCGACGAGCCGGTGTGTAGACGCCATAGGGCACCGCGCGGCGAGCCGCCGCTCCCACCCTCACTCAATGACTCATGACCAAGCAGCAACGGTAGCTTTGTTTTAGTTGATTTTGGAGCAAATTACCGAGGTAACACGAAGCGGTCCGGTAAACCAAGATGGAGTGAGTCGTCCACCGCAACCCACAAACGGGAAGCAAGGCGAAACAAATTGGCCTGGGCGACGCCCGACAAACGTCGCCCAGGCCATTTCATCACCTCGAAGCTAATTGGATCGATGGTCCCGACTCCGTGAGCCCGTCTGTTTTAGCGTCGGCATTTTTTGCTTCCGCCGCGCGGGAAGACAAACATCCGGGGAACGAGTTCCACAATAAAGGCAGGTGAGACCAAGCGCAAAAAGCAAGACGGGGAGGGGAAACCCATCTTGTAACTAGCTGCTTGTAAATCTAGTCATTGTCATTGGATGAGTCCTCGCTGATGGCGGGTTGGGTAGTTATTTGAAATTACCGTCTCTTCCCACCCTGCGCGTTATTGGGAGCGGCGAATACGATGCGAGTTTTGGCGACTTGGCCCAGTGGCTGGGACTGGGTAAGGTTTGTTATATTAATAGATGGAGTATTTGATCAATCATTTCTGTTGCCGAAGGATAGCTCTCTACCCATCAACTATACCGACTCTTACAACAGAGTCTTTCAATACCCTCCAGCGTCAAGAGGCCCCATGTACTGGCTTGTAGTTACCTCGGGAACATTGATCCTGGATACGGGTACGGACCATGTTTTGCGCTTGGGGTCATCGTGCTCAGGATCCAGGGGGCCCTAGTTGAAACCTACTTAGCTTGGGCTCGAACTCTGACTATGATGACATAACTCGACATGGCCACCTTCTTCTTTACGCATCTCTGGTCATGCTGAACCAAGAGTTTCAATCAAGTAAAGTAGTCTTGAAGTAAAAGCAATAGGCGTTTTGGTAGAGGCCGAGGCAACGTGCTGTTGAGTCATCGGCCATCATCCTGTCATTGTTCTGTCACGATGCAAGATGAAAGATCCAATCCTCAAGACCGAAGCGACCGGTCAGACCATTTGGCCGACTGCCCCAGTAGTCCAAGACAAGTTATATCCCAGGAGGCATGGTTCCTTCGCACCTGAGGCAAGGCAAGCTTGTCCAAATCCAACTAAGTTGATCTGGTGGGTGACATTCCAGATGAGGGAATTAGCATTGAGTCCACTAGTCCCGAAGGTCAGACCCGTCCCGGGGTAGATGTGCACTTCATCACCGCTCTCTTCACAAAAGCAAGCATGGACTTGCCTAGCCCCTTATTCTACCGGCAGCTTCAGAGGACCGAAGCGGCTACTCCTTTGCCGGTCGAGCAATAAGCAGGTATATGTTGTTGCTCCCCGCGTCCAACAACCTTCATTCCCTTCTGTCTTCCCTCTCCACGACCACAGCATACTTGGTTCCACCGTCGTCAACATCACACTACAAACCTAGGTCCGGACAAAACATCAAATACTTCAGATTCCACTAGAGTCCCATCATCATCATGCAGTTGAAAAACGTCATCTTAGCAGCGGCAGTGGGCTTGGTGGACGCCCAGCGTCCCAAGGACCAAAGCATCTGCGACTACTACACAACCGCGTTGCTCAAGACAAATAACGCAACCAACCAGGCTACGTTGTTGACCTTGCTGGTAAACACAGTCGTCATTGGGAATTGTCAGAACGCTCCACGCCGTTGCTCCCTCGTCGGTCCAGTCGCTAATACGCACACATAGACACCATGCCCAACCATAATGCCGTCCCCGGCATCCTCGCCCCCGGTGAGATTGACGGCCAAAAGGTCAATCTCGCTCCCTACTTTAACGGTGCTCTTGCTTCGACAAATACCGGTGGGAAAATGGGCGAGTCCGTCAACTTTTTGGACGGCGGCGGCGCAGCGGTAAGTCGAGTGTCCATGCAAAGCCTTCTCACCCGGATGAACTGTGCTAAATATGGAAACAAAAGCCCCTGAAGGAGAACAAGCCTGCCAACGACGACAAGAGCCGCCAGTAGTAAGTAGAATCCTTTCCCGGTGCGGAACCATGCTGACCCCATACAACAAAGTTTCCTCCTCACCCACTTGTACCAGTTCTTTGGAAGCCTCACTGGGTGCAGCATGCAGGGAATGGCTGGATTTGACGCCTACAAAGGGCAGGCCTCGATGGCCGAAGTTCACAAGTTCATGGACCTGAGCAAGCCCGAGATGGACTACTTTGTCACCCAGGTCGGGCTTGCCGCAGCGTCGTTTGGCGTCGCCAAGGAGGATATCACCGTCGTTGCCGACGCCCTCAATTCCGTCTTCAATGTGGCTTGTGGACCGCCCACGGCTGTCATCAAGGCTCAGGGTCCCCAGTTGCAATCCATCTGTATCGACCAGTCCACCTGTCCCAAAGCCGCCAAGGATCCCATGTGTGACAAATACCCTGCTGTCATGAGGCCTAGCAACGCAACGGGTACCACGATGCCGTCTGGTGCCACGATGCCGTCTGGTGCCACGATGCCGTCTGGTGGTATGGCGCCTAGCGGTACCGCATCCAGAGGCAATGATATGCCGAGCGGAACGGCCAAGGGAACAAGTATGCCCTCTGCTTCAACGGTTTCGGCTGGTGCTACCCTGGCGAGTGGGTATAGTTATGCTGCTGCTGCTGCTGCTGCTGGACTGGCTTATCTCCTTTTGTAGCCTGGGAGGGTTGAGGTGTGCTGTTTCTTGTGACGATAGGTTCTGTGGTGGGGTTAAGTGTATTAAGTCTGTGCAAGTGTAATAATACGCTTTAGGGTCCTTGACTTTTCTTGTGATTCCGCGAAGTATAGTTCTACAGACATGAGAAATAAAAGATACTGCCGACTTGATACGTGTTGCGCCGGTGAACAAGATGCTGGAGCCCGACACGGTATCACTCCTGAACATAGACATGGCGCCGAATGGCTGTCAGTAACTAATGAGAAAATCAAAGTGGCTGTTGGTGGCTACAGCTACATACAGCTGTATGTAACTAGGTAGGCTAGTTGTCAGCTTGAAAGATTAAAATTCTAGTTGCAAATATAAGGCTTATTAGAAGCTTGCCAGTTAGAAGCTTGCTGGTTGCAAGCTTGCTTGTTAGAGGCTTGATTTTCGTCAACAATATGTGCAACCTAACTAGGGAACAGAAAGAGGATTATGCCCTCATTACCTTGTTGCCTTAATGCCTTAGTGCCTAAGCCCACTCTTGGCTAATGAGGCTATTGTGATAGCTGCAACCTTTGTGCATGGCAGCTAGTCATGTGATTGTGGCTTTTGCGTTTCAAGTTTCATTTGCCAGCATCCTATCTCTTGCCGGTGCACTTTTGATAAGAATCCTTACTCATTGTGTCTATTAACTGCCGAATACAGTATCAGTCCCACGCGCCCAAGGAAGCCATATCGCGAGAATCCGAGCTACGCCCAATTGCTGGGACCATGGATTTATCAGCCAAGCCCTGCCATGCTCAAGGGTACGTTTCTGTTCTGGAGAAGAGATATTCCAGCTTGGAAAGAGCAACTATAATGCAGCAATAGTCTAGCGCCATGTTTGCAGAGGTTTGGATAGAGCATTTGTTGTTGGCGGACCACGCGGGCTACCCTTCGGCTGTTCTCTTATACATCTCGGCCGTTCCACCACACCTCGTGGACGGCAGTGATGAATATTGCATCAAAGAAGTGACTCGAGAACTAGCAATCTAGCTTGCGCAAAATGACTCGCTGGCGCGTGAATTTCGATGGATCGGCGCAACTGGAAATCTAACTCATGCCACCCGACTCATGAGTATGTCGAGTCATGGACCTCAATGGATTGACGCAACTGGGCAGCCAAGGTTGCATAGTCAGTTAGTAGATATGACATCTGCAACTGACTCGCTTGAACTTGCTCACTTCGACTGGCCATTGACTCTGCCACGAGCCAGATCTGTTTGTCTTGCCCCTTGGATCCGATATATAATTGCCCTCTATTGCATCTTCCGGCTGAAGCCATTGTCCTTTCCAGCCATCTTTTCCCAACGCCGAAGAGATAATACCAAGGAAGAAAACCAAAATGAAGTCCCTCAATATCATTATCGCGGCCTTGGCCAGCGTGGCTGCCGCCGGCTCCGAGCTCAACGCCCGACAGGAAGTCAGTGGCCCCCAAAGCGGGATGTCTTCACAAAGAAACAATCACTAACGTGGCCTCGACCCTCTACAGCCTGCTGCCAGTGTCCAAAGTCCTCCTCAGAGTGTACGTCCTCATCCCGTTTCGTCCATCCAGACAGACGTGCTAATCGTCTGCCCCCAGCGCTCGACTACGTGCGCAACCTCCCACAACAGCGAAACTCCCCCCCAGTCTTCAAAAGAACAGGTCATGGCAAGGACCCAGAAATGGAAGACTGAATACTGCAGCCGCCCCGGCGTCAACAAGACCAACTGTTTGAAAGCCGCAACTCACTGCGAGTTTAGCCAGCCCGAGCAAGCCCAGGTGGAAGAATGCATCGACCAAAACCACGCCTGTCGAGACTTGGGGGCCTACCTTGATGAATGCTTAGACAGGGCGGCAAAGTGTAGGAAGACGGGCGAGGCGCCCCCGGGGGATGTGAACAAGCTTTGTCTCTGTGCTGTAAAGGACTTTGACAAAAACCAAGTAGGGTGGGACGAATACTGGCCTAACCAGTGCGACTTGATAACCAGATAGTTTTACTGGTCGTATGATATTGTCAAGTCGTCGGAGGGCTGCTTTGTCGACATGCAACTACCTGTTTTGTTTTGTTTTGTTTTGTCTTCTTTTAAACTGTCACGCGGCAACACCACGACTGCGATCACGGAGACCCAGGATAGACAGCCTCGCTGCACAAATAAAAGTGGTCAGGCACCAACCAAGGGTCTTGTGGACTCCCCAGGCCTTTCATCCTGCAGTGAATCGCGGTTGAATTGAGTGATTGATCCAAGAAAGCCCGGCTGCTACACTGTAGCCTTTGTCACCCTGCATACTTGCAAGCTGATTAGAGCAAGCCGGTCAGCTGTTTTATTCCACGCCTGAAAAGGGCCTCCCAAGTCTGGACATCACGGCTCGAGCCAAAGTAAGCGTGGCGTGGCGGTCGCCTGTCGCGGCGGCGAAATAGCCGAGACCATAAATAAGCCGTCGAGCAGCAGAGCCCTAAAGGCACACTTCAAAGTCCAAAGTCAGAGCCTCTGCATCCCGCCAAGGATCGCTATTGTTGCATCTTCTCAGCCTGTGACTCAGCCTTGAAACCAAACTGCCACTGCGAACATGCACGGGACTCTTTCACGTTGTTGTTTTCGACTTGCCCACCTCCCCTAGTCATATGACATGTCATTATAGACACCAAACCACCGTTCTTGCCTAGCTTTCTTGGCATAACCACCATCCACACCGCGTGGCGCTTTTAGCAATAGCTCAACATCCATGTGAAACCTCCCCATACAAAGAGGGAAGAGAAAGGAGCTCCAAGGTGGGATGGCCGGCCCAGCGTCGCCGTCTGACTTGCTTGTGGTGTGGTTTCTGCCCCCGATAGCAGTTGACGATCGAGCCTTCACACATTCTCAAGGCAGTGATAGCAGCCTACCAAGGCGAGCAATTTGAAAAGCCACAATGTTTAGTGTCGCCAGCACAGCCAGAAGCTTAATTCAGCAGCGTCTCTATAGGGCGACCATTGACCCCCCGCGTGATCCGTGGGAAAGCTTATGCTGGCGGCCAGATTCCGCCGTTTTGAGGAAACTTCCAACGCGAGCTAGTTGCTTGCATCTCAATCAGCTTCTTCGCCGGATCTCGTGTGCAGCTGCTACAACTCTTGGCATGCGGAAACCCGATATAAACATGGCTGCGCTATGCCACGGCACGCAGGAGGCGTCTAGGACAGCTTCAACGCAAGATACGCGGCGCTGGATCCGAGAAGCCGGTGCGAGAGCTGTGGACTGCCACGACGGTGCCCGTAGTCGGTCATAATAGGCGGCATCCGAGCTATTCCAGGTGTTGACTTGTGCCTGCATGGACACAGCGCGGCTTTAGACACGAAACGCGTTGATGGATTCCTCTTTCGCGTTCAGCCCTGCCTCGGCCGTCAAAAATGCTTACTTCTCGTAGGTCCGAGAATCAGGAAACATCAACCAACGCAAGGGGAGGGACAATAGAAAACAGCTCGTTCATGGTGGCTAGGCGCTCTCATATTGAAGGTCGAGCAAAGATCTTGTCACGGCTTGGTGTCCCTTGGACCAAAAGCTCCTCAGCCAATCACACATTTGTTGCCACCGATAATGCATCGCATCCAGATCAATGGAAACGCCCGCCCCGTCGCGGGTGCTGTAAGCGCCGCGTCGATCAGCACTTTCGCAGCACCACCGCCCAGCGTGGCTCATTCCAACTACATCCTGATCCAGGCCAAGGGTCCGTTGAGTGCGCAGCAGAAGCAGGCACTTCGCGACAAGCAAGTCGACGTTCTCGAGTATCAGGGCGAGGACGTCTACCGCTGCGGCTACAAGCCTACGTCGTTGGAGCCCGTGACCAGCGACCTCCCGGACTTCATCACCGATGCCGAGGTATACCACCCGGATTACGTGGTTGAACCCGAGCTCAAGACGGATAAGGACGATGACGGGGCCGAGGTTGAGGTTGCCATTCACGACGACGTTGGTGATGATGACGTGGACCGCGTGGCCAGCGACATCGCCACCCAGGCTGATATCCCCGGCTCCAGTGTCCGGCTCCAGGACCGGAAGGCTTGCATCACGGTTTCCAAGGTCAAGCTGGGCCAGCTAGCCCGCATCGACGAGGTCAAGGCCATCAACGAGGTGCAGACCCGTCGCCTTCTCAACAATGTCGCTTGCGGCATTGTAAAAGCCCACGAGCCCGTTGGTGCGGCCAGCGTCACCTACAAAGGCAAAGGACAAGTCGTGTGCGTAGCGGACACTGGCTTTGACACGGGCTCGCTGGCTGGCTACCACGAGGGGTTTCAGGACCGCGTCATATCCCTCCATGCTAGAGGCCGCCCTGCCGCGAATGGAATCCGGATGGCCATGGCACCCACGTCTGCGGCTCAGTGCTCGGCGACGGAAACCATGGCGAAGAGGGCCGCATCGAGGCCCCTGCCTCCGAAGCCAAGCTCATCATGCAGTCTCTCTTCGACAAGCTTGACAAGCGTGCCGGACCGAACCCGCAGTCGTGGAATGCGGGGCTGGGCGGGATCGGCAACAGCTATCTGACCTCGTTGACGGCGTCTTAAGGGAGGGCGCCACGGTCCATACCAACCCGTGGGGAGGTCCGCCTCAGCTGTACGTCGAGCGGGAGGAGGCCAAGATCGACGGGTACCTCTGGGGAAATAAAGCCATGACGGTGCTCTTTGCTGCAGGCAACGCGGGCGTCGGCGTGGACAGCAGCCCCGGCCACGTCGACGCTCACTCGCTGTCCGCCCAGGCCGTTTGCAAGAACGTCATCTCGATCGGCGCGAACAGACGGCCCGACGTCAAGAGCCCGGTGCTGGGAAACAAGCCGCTCGTCATCGCGGTCGACAACGTCGCCGACAACCCGGAGGGCATGGCCGCATTTAGTAGCCGCGGCCCCACCCAGCCGGATGGCCGGATCAAGCCCGATATCGTGGCCCCCGGCACCACCATCCTGTCGACCCGCTCCAGCCACATGGTGCCCGGGCATCACAGCGAGTCCTGGGGCCACAGCAGCGACGCCGGGTGGATGTACGAGGGCGGCACGAGCATGGCCACGCCCCTCGTCGCCGGCTGCTGCGCCGTGGTCCGCGGCGCTCTCTTCGACAACCGTGTGGCCCAGCCGTCGGCCGCTCTCGTCAAGGCCATCTTGATCAACGGCGCCGTGCCCTTGAAGGGACAGTACGGCCAGGGCCTTCCCGACGGCGAGTTTTGGCCGTCCGTGGACGCGCCCAACCCCAACTCTGGCTTCGGCCGAGTCAACCTGGCCAGCTCCCTCCGGAGCATCGTCGCGGGCCCCGAGAGCCGTGTCTGCGGATTCGAGGATGTCACGGGCGACCAGTCCCTCGGGATGGACGGCCGACACCGCGAAGAACACGCCGTCGCTGTAGACATTCCCACGGGGGGCTCTGCGGCATTGACTTTGAAGGTCACGCTCGTGTGGACCGACTTCCCGGGCGAGAGGCTGCCGAATGACCTCGACTTGATTGTGGCTGGAGCTGGTGGCGAGAAGCATGGAAACCAGGGGGATGATCTTTCCGCGTTTGATCGAATGAACAACGTAGAGCAAGTCGTTTGGAGAAATGTCGAGCTACACCATCACCACCAAGGACCCCCAGCCGTTTGCTCTCGCGTGGAGAGCGTTTGAGCAGTAGCCTGTTATGTTGCAAGCCTTTTTCATTGGCTAGGCACTGGCATAGTACGTACGTATGTTTATTTGCCACCACGGAGTTACTTACTGCCTCCCCTGTTTCAAAGATTCGTGAGAGCGGCGCCGTGTACGGAGTAGGTTTGATTTGTTTCAGCCGGGTCCTTTCCTTGGCCAATCGTCACCAATCCCCTGCGACGTACAAATAAGCTTGCTGCAATGCTGCAGCCTGAGAGTGACGTGGCGTCTACGTCAACCTTGTTCGAGCAACAGCCACGCTTTACGGTCGCACATTAGCTTGCATCTGCAAATGCTGCTACTATAATTTTCCTAATTTGCATTCTGCTAATTTTATAGATATAAGTTATTATTATAATACTAATAATACTTAAACTTAGAGAAGTAACTTACTAATAAGCTTATTTTTAAGTTAAAATTTAATACTATAAGTCTTCTTTAGTAGAAATAATAAAAGTAATAATTAAAACTAACTTAAAAATAATTCTAAAATAGCTAGCTAATTTTATTTCTTAAAGAACTATTCTACTATTTTAAAGTAAATAGTATACTATATAATTAAATATAATACTAACTAGATATATATATAAATTAATTCTTATTTATTTCTTATAAATATAGTAATATATAATTAAGTTATTACTTTACAAAATTATTATATTTAATTCTATAAAATTAACTTAAAGAAGTACTACTTTAAGAATAATAAAAAGTAATTAAATAATAACTTAACTTATAAGTTACTATAAAAAATAGTTTAAAACTAGTTATATAATAATTAATATTTATTTTATATAGAATAGTATTTAAACTATATTAATAGCTAAGCGCTATTATAAATACTATATAAGCTTATATAGTAAGGCGTAATGCCTTCTAAGGCGCGATTTTTATTTCTACTTTTATACTGCTAACTACTACTACTATTGCTACTGCTAATACTATAGTTTAAACTATATATAATAAAGCTACTGCTGCTAATACTAAAGCAGCAGCTGCTATATACTACTAACTAAGAATAGTATATATATTACTTAAACTACTTATAAAGTAATTAGAAAAGAGATTAAAACTAATTTTAATAAAATACTGCTAAGCTGCTTGCCTAGTTGCTCTTACTCTTACTCTTGCTCTTGCCCCTGCTCTTACTCTTACTGTTATTATTATTATTATTACTATTGCTGCTGCTGCTGCTATAATTATTATTATTATTATTGTTATTGCTATTGCCTCTGCTTCTGCCTTTAAGCTCTTCTCTCTCTCTCTCTCTTTCTAAGAATAAGAAGAATAATAATAAGAATAAAAATAAAAATAAAGTTAAAGATAAAGATAAAGATATAGAAATAGTATAAACTACTTACTAAATAATTATAAACTAGTTAAGAACTAATTCTAGCTAATAGAATTTACTTAGTATATTACTAAATAATATACTTTTTACTATATAGCTACTATACTATAAAGATAGCCTTTTTATAATTACTAAGATATACTATATAGTAAGTTTCTAAAGGCTTAATATAGCTTATAATATTTATATATTTATTTTATATAGTAAGTTAGTTAAAATTAAAATTAAATTAGAAATAATTTATACTAATAGCTATACTATAAAATACTTCCCTCTTGCTTTAACTAGTTTTATAAAGTTTAGAAATGTTTTTATTAATTTAGTTAGTTTAATTAGTTTATTTTTATTTTTATTTTATTTTTTATTTTTATTTTATTTTTTATTTTTCTTTTATTTTTTTATTTTTCTTTTGTTTTTTTTGTTTTTTTAACTTTACTTTTTTTAACTTTACTTTTTTACTTAGCTTTTTTACTTAGCTTTTTTATTTTATTTCTTAAATTAGTTACTTAAGTTATTTTATAAATAAATTAAAGATATATTTCGACTTCGCGTCTCTTCCTTGCTTACACGCGAAGGCCCGGCTCGCGTTTTGCGTAAATTGTTCCATCATTCTGTGCCGTAGCTTAAGAGATGTCGTTAAAAAAAACCTTTCCAATGGACGAACACAGGAAGTTTCTAGCAGACATGCTACTCAGCGAGGGTCGACCGGTAAGTTTTACAATATTGCATGTATAACTTACGTCAACTGATCAGTATCACTCGCAGATCTCCTATCGGGCCCTAAGCACGTCGCTAGATGTCCACGTCAACAGAGCTAAAGGGTATTTGTCACTTGTCCATTTATTCGTCGCTCCCTACCTCTCTTTTCTTAATTTCCCTCTTTTCTCTTCTTAATTTACTCTTTATTCTGTCTTTTTCTTCTAGTTATTTACTATAAAATATTATATAACTAGCAGTAAAAATATTACTTTAAGGCATTATATTATATATATAATAAGATTTAAAGTTAATATCTAAATACTTAATTTTGCCTTTATTATAGTACTTTCTAAGTAGTTCTAATTAAAATTAATTTAAAACTAGATTTATAGTAGTCTTAGTTTAGTTTTAATTTATTAAGATAAATAAAAGCTTAATAATATTCTTACTATATTTTATTTATATAAATAAAATAAAATTATATAAGTAACTTTAGAAAGAACTTTTAAGCTAAAGCTAATAAAGTATTATAAGTAACTTACTTAAGTATATAAAAAAACTCTTAGTATAATTTAGCTAAGCTACTTATTTAGCTTATTTTACTACTATTAGTTAGTACTTTTTAAGAGAGCTTTTTTATTTCTAAAAAAATAAATAAGCTAAGTAGAAATATAAATTAATTATAAACTAATTTAAAACTAGCTTTTATATTTATACTAACTAGTTTTATTAAGCTTAATTAAACTTTAGCTACTTTTATAGTTAAATATTAATAATAAACTTTTATATAAAAAGCAATAAATAAATAAGTATATTTAACTAAGCTTTATAGTATAATTTAATAATAATATCTCTTTTAAGCTTAAATAAATATAGTTTAAGCAGGCTAAATTATTTTAACTTCTACTTTAAATATATACTATATTATATATAGTTTTTAACTAATTTTAAAAGAATAATATATATAAATAAAATATTAAAGATAGCTATATATTAGTTTAAATATATTTCTATTTTTTATATTTATAATAAAAAGATATAAATAAAACTCAATTTAATTTACTATAATTACTAACTTTAAGTATATTTAATTTACTTTTAACTATAATACTCTCTCTAGATATAAAGTTATTAGCTTTACTAATTTACTTAATTAAGTAGAGTAGTTTAATAAGCTTTAATAATTTAC